TTTTTATAATAAATATAACCTAAATACATACCCTAAATCAATAACACGAGCTCCTTTTCTCAACTTCTCTTCAATGGGTGAATGAAACAATCCTCCCCAAATCTCTTTTATTGCTAAAATTTATATATTAAAATAATTTTCTTAGAAAAAAAACTCGATATCAGAATAAAGCTTTTTTTACCATCATGATATCTAATTAAACGATCAACTTCTTCATCATCATTCGCACCAAGATACTCTGAATTCGAAAGATTATGAAATCGTCTACCACCAATAATGCGGAACCTCACTTTTCCATCTCCCTCTTCGATAAAGCGTCTAGAACAACAGCATCCCATTTTTTTTTAATTATTTATTACAAATATCACAATCCTTTTATAAATACATGTCACAAATTGCACTCTTGAATCTGATTGGCTAATAACTTACGTGACGGTATCTAAAAATGGAACAGTACTCATTTTTTTGCAGAATATGTACATGTAATACAATATTCATTATTAGTGGTACTTATCGCGTCTGTCAATAACTCAATTTGTACATGTACGTATTTATTTTTCATCTTGATGTCACGTCAAGAAAAAATCGTTGCAGACAAAATTATAAAGTATCGTTTCACAAGTCATTCTTGAACTGCATGTACCGGTACCAATTAACTCTTAATATTAATGCATGTTCACCAAATGCATATGTAATCACTACTTATATGTATATAACGCTGTGAATCCAAAGATGGAATCTGCATGTACAGATTCCGCCATATGTATCCAGAATTTTCATTACAGATAAAAAACCTTATCTTCATTTAAATTTTGTACTACGAACCCGTTACTAACTATAAAGAAATTAATAATTCAATCACCTCCAAAAGGCGATTTTTCATACTCCCCGCCAACCTAAGGAAGAGGTCTTCATTAAAACCACCCATTTCCCGACGAATTATTGCTTGAAAATCATCTCCAGAGTTTTTTTTTGCTAACCATATATTTGCTTCTTTCGCCACCTTCCCCTTTAATATCGCCCGCAGGTTCTCGATGGGATTTATATCCGATGAGTAGGAAGGCCAATCAAGAATTCGGACACAGTGACTTTTAAAAATATCGGTTATTTATCGGCTTTGTGGATTGGAGACTTGTCCTGTTGAAAACACAACCGAAACATGAGGAAAGATGTGAGTTTCAAGAATTTCTTGGTATCTTTTAGCGTTGAGATTTGGTCCTTGTGCACAAAATGCACCACAAACATGAACTTTATAAGGATACTTTACCATACTTCGGTGTGGTCATGGGGAGCCACGATGGTACCTTATTAACTGAGTGTTCCGAAACATTTGAAAGGTTGTTTCATCGGAGAATATAGTGTGGGACCAGTTGTCCTGAACATGTCTTTGTGCCCATTCGAAACGAGCTGCGACGTGATGAGGCTGTAGAAAAGCGGATGACGAACTTCAAATTAAAGATTTTTTTCTAACATACGTTGAACAGTATGAACAGAAACCTTCAGGTTAGGATTTTTTTCAGTCATTTCACCTGCAGTTAGTCTGCACCATTAGATCAAGATGTCAAGATGGCGTCGATGTTTGGACGTGAGAATTGGGGGTCTTCCAAATTTGGGAAGTGGCGTAACACTGGACTTTTCCTTAAGCCGGATAATGTACATATGTCGGCATGTACATACAGTAGGACAAAAAAATATTCGCGATTTTTATTACAAAATCGCTAATATTTTTATGTTTCAAATATTTTACCTGGGGGTCGACTCAATACGTAGTAATCTTATATTAAGTAATACATGTATAGGTCACGACCCTTATGAGTATTATGATCTGAACACTCATTTACTTCTGTTTATACATGTACATGTACATGTATTTGTAAATTGATTTAAACGACATATGTATGAGATCAAATTTAACAAGACGAGTCATTTATGTGTGGAAAATCGATATAAAAAAAAGGAGAAAGAACGCATAGCGTTAAAAGAATCCTTTTATGACTTCTATTTGTGTGTGTACATAATAAGACTCTTCTTTCAATACATCAAATGCATGTTGTATGCGTTATTTTTATGTGAAATTATTACGCGTAATATGAGTAACGTTAACATAAATGGATAAATGGAAGTTAAGAAATAAATGTAAACTCAGTCTATTAATAAACATGCATGATAATGATAACGATAACGATAAACGAAAATATATAAAGATAAGTAAATAAACTACCAATTGTTATGTAAATAAGTGGATTTTAATAGATAAGTTTCGATAAAAAGCAATGGTTAAATTAATAAAAATACCTCGATATGTGTAAACACAAAGAAAGTGATAAATAATAGAAACCGCTTTTTGTTTGTTACTAAATCATTGAAATTCTACTCCTTCATCCATATAAATCGAAATCTGTCTGTATAAATGGAAGTACGATATACGTAACTTTTCTTTTAACGCTATTAAAATTACATGGTATAAGTTCGAACACATAAAAAATGAAAATATAAATAGCAAAAAAAAAAAAACGACAAATAATTCCGGTATTTTGATATTGATATTAATTTTTGTTATGAAGAATAAAATTGTTCGAGGAATATCGGTATCGTCGAAGTTATTAATTAAAAAGAAAACTTTACTTGATAAATATAGTCTTAATTCAATAAAATGAAATCTTTCCCTTTTATTTGATTCTTCCGACACGTATTCAATAGGACGTTTGCTTCGTTTTATGCTCTTCGAAATCTAATTTTTGTTAAAAACTTAGAAATAGTAAATAATCCTTTAAAACTCGTCGTTGTTAACGAGAAAAAAACTTGCGCTGTGTTTGGATGTTCTTTCGGGCATCTTTTCCATTACTCTCAACATCAATGCCAAACGGAAGTGAACGACGACTTTCACATAAATAAATCATCGTTTTAAATAAAACACTGCCATACTCAAAGCTGGCATCTAAAACTTTGAGTACTCATGATTGTAGTGAATGTCGTTGGTGTTAATACAATTACTACCGCTAATGAAAAGTGCAATATTCATGATTTACACTTGTAGATTCGGCATCATCAATATCAAATTCAGTACGTAGTCATACGTATATGCTAGAGGTGTATGCAAACAACTACATGTATTTTAATAACTTATATTTAATAAAAATAATATTAACGTTAATAAGTTTACCTTCGTCTGAACATACAAACTGACACTTCTAGCACCTAATATCCAAAAATGATTTTCAATTCACATGAACCGTTAATGTGAATTATATTCGAAATAAATAAAGGTACTTGCGTCATGCGGAATTGAAATTAATTTTGGAGTAAAGACTCGACTGGTATAAACTGTGTATTTGGTGTTTTTGTTCGTATTTGTAAGAACGCTTTTTGTGGTTCCATCTTCTCATCAAATACTCGCCATTTCTCTCTTTTTAATCGAAGAGATTGTTACCATTTTCAACAAAACTATTGTAATTCCTTAATTTTAAATTATTATAAAATATGATGCATCATAATTTAATCCAATAATCATATCATATTAATTTTCTCTTTATTTCACTTCGTATTGGTATGGTGCATAAAATCTAAAGTCATTAAACATTTGTATTTTAAACTTCTTTACTAAGAAGTAAATACAAAATTTAATCCGTGAATATAATAGAATAGACCTTTTCTGAGCATATTCACGGATTAAATTTTGCATTTACCTCTTAGTAAAGAAGTTTATACATTTTATAAAATACAAACGTTTGATGAATTTAGATTTTATGGCACCATACACAAATAAATATTTTATAAGAAATATAAACCAAACTGTATTCATGAACTTTGAATGAGAAATTGGTTACAATGTCAAGTTTTAACATAATAGATGCTTATACTAAAAAATGTTAACGAGTATCTATTCTAGATATTTGTAAAGTTTCATGCGGTTTTACACATAATACAAAATGTAAAATCCTTTTAGATGAATGATGTATTTGTCATATTATCTTCATTTTCATTGGCTATAGTTATTTTTACTATATTTAAAGTTTAAGTATATTTTTAGTCAATGAAAATCGCCAATGAAAATGAAGATAGTATGGGAATACATCAGTTTATATTGATATAAATTCGTGAATTTACATTTTGTATTACATCTCATTATGTTGATAGTTATATATTTGTTATATTTATGATTAAATTGATTTTAATAGTGTGTGATGTGTAGAAAAAATCAATTAATTTGTTTTTTTATTATTTGTAATGAATTAATATTCAAAACCTTTATGAAACTTTACAAATATCTAGAATAGAAACTTGTGAACATTTTTTATAATAACTTGACATTGTAACCGATTTCTCATTCAAAGGATTATTATAATAATAAAAATTAAAAATAAAATTGTGATCATTATTCAATTTATTTGATTTTTGTCAATTTATTTAATATTTAATCGGCTCTCCATTTGACTCCAATCAATCCTTCGTGGTATTGATGTGTAACCCGTTCTAAAATGGCCACATCAATTTTTTCCCACTCCACCTTTAATGCGACCTTAAGTTTATCTACAGTCTTCGGAAAGTTCTCATTTTTTTTTAATATTGTCCTTTAATCTTCCAAATGTTCTCTATTTGGTTCGGGTCTGGAGAATTAGCCGGCCAGTTAGTAATCGCGATTTTATTTTCCGTTAACCATTCCTTAATTTTTTCCGCAGTATGAATCGGCGCATTATCTTGTTGAAAGATTGCGTAACGTAACTTCTTAATTGTGTTATGAAATGGTAATAAATGAGGTTTTAAGATTTCAAGGTATGTATTTTTTTCTCCATTTTTTATATAATTAATTTTCCCATAAAACACCCTCAAGCCATTACAGATTTTGTTCATTTTTAAAGGTAGGAGCCAAGCAATTAACATTAAACTCTTCTCTATGATGCCGCAAAACTCTTAGTTGCCGTGACTGCTTTCCAACTTCAATACTGGTTTCTTCAGAGAAATTATTTTCGTCCAATCATAAGCTGATTTATTTTTACTTTCTTCACACAATTTAATATGAACATGTGCATGTGTTTCCGAGATATAGGGTTTCTTTGCTGTGATACATGAGTTAAGTCTGGAGTTGTGTAATACATTTACGACTGTTGATAAACTACAAGTGAGGTCTAAATTGTTAACTATTTCACGTAGTGGTGCACGTCTTTTCGTTAGCTTCACGTATAAGTAAATCCTTTTCTTGGTTGCTAAGAACTGGTGGTCTTCCTGAACGTGGTAAGTTTTCGCTTTTTCTTGTTCGTTTATATTTGTTAATAAAGCGACGTATCGTCGTGGGGTCGCGTCCAAGCATTTTTTACGATTTGAGCGGCATTTGTGGTTTCGTGTATGCCAGAATCTTCCCTTTCTCAATTTTGTTAAGCTGCGTATAGGTGGGCGTCATTTTTTAATTTAACGAAATTATAGTGTTGACGAAGTTGTAACAGGTACATTATTATTTTGACTT